GGCGAGATCGACTTTTCGGGCTTGGATTCGGAGCGCGCAGAAAAGGAAGCGATTAACACAGTTCTGGTATAGTGATATCCCGTGGGGTGAAGCTTGCACAAACGCAAGCACGCAGTAGTCGTGTCATAACTATGCGTATAAATTCTTTGCGCCATGCAAATTGATTAATTCGAACGAGCTCTATAATGGCTTGTGCAAGTTGTATACGAGTTGATTTGTTTCATCGATGTCCTCGTACTTATAATACGACGTCTCTTTCAACGTTTACAAGTCATTTGCTCGAGCGCTTCCTTGAATTTTCGTAAATAATACAATCAATTTTTTTAATTACTTCCCCGTGTATAAAGCCGAGCTTTCGGTCTACTGATTTCATACATAAGAACGTCTAAAGTACGTATACAGCATAAATGTGTAACTCGATATTTTCAATAAGTCGGTGAACTCGTTCGTGTATTGTTTCTTTTTTTTTCGTCGAGCTTTATTAGACACATATAGACACACACAAGTTGGCGGCGACGACGAGAGAGCGAGTACCGCCGAGGCATATATTGTAACACAGTGGCCGCTGACCTGCCGAGGAAAGCGACCGACGCCGCGCGCGATCAATGCGCGCGGCTCGAAAAAGCTTGCATGCCTCATGCGAATCAATGTCTCTCTTGTGCCTCTATATATATAATGCCATGCTGCTGCTGCACGTGCAAGTGCAAATCCTATACATCATATACAGTGTGTGTGTATGTGCTGCATATATATTGCCAACAGAGAAAATATTGAGTTTCAGCGCGCGGGCATAATTTCTCACGGAAAAAAATGTACATTAAAATATATATACACACAGACACACTTGTTATATGGCGAAATTCTTATATACACGGATGAACCGCCGCGAGTGAATGATATTGCTCGGTATCACGAAATTTTAAATGTTTCGGTCATTGCGTGACTACTGCTGCTGCTGCTGCTGCTGTGTTGGCAGCGGTACTCTATACACGGCTATATATTCACATGCACCAGCCATAGAGAGAGAGAGAGAGAGAGAGAGAGAAAGAAACTTTGTCGTCCTTTTTGTTACATTTCCTGATCGTGTGCAGGACGAGAGAGAGAGAGAATAAAGTACAGAAGCGGTTGAAGCAAGAGAGAAAAGAAGAACTCGCGAGGCAATCGATGTGCCTATACGGGTAGTAGTAACGTTGTGCCGAATGTTAATTTAGTTACCAAAAAAGATAGGCCGCCGTGCATATTTCAAAACGTTACACAAAGTTTACGTATATACTCTGGCGTGCATGCAGAAATAATCTAACGAGGCCCTTCCTTTAATTTAGTGCACGGCGCAGCTCTGATCTTTATCCTCGCCGACGAGTTAATAAAGCCCCGCGCGCAGCCCCCCCGAAAATTATACGAGCATTATTCAAACTGATATGCATATAAATATATGACGCGCTCGTTAGAAAAAAAAACATCGAGTCCTGGAACCTGAAACAAAAGATATCCTTCTTCTCTTATATAATACACGCGCGCGCGCGTATCCTTGCCGATTTCGATGTATCACACGCAGAGAGGTGGTGTACCGGTCCCGAGCGAGCGAGAGAGACTAATTAGCGTACAGCCGCATAGATTTCCTAGATAGTATTTGGAGCATGTATATTATACGCGAGTAAACGCGGTATACAACTCCTTCTTAGACGTTTCGTCGAGCCGTATATATATAAGCAACAACGAGAAAAAGAGAAAACTGCCGCGCGAGGGGAGCTTCGCGCTATCGCGAAAGAGAGTGCGAGCGATGAAAATGTACATCGTATACGTACGTACGAAAAATTATACACTTTTATCGCGTCGTTTTATTAAAGCTTAATTGATTGCCTCAACGACGACGACGACGCACACGAGGAGGTAAAGAGTTTTTCAAAACTCGGCGCGAGAAACGACTCGACGCTGCATTTTTCGCAATGTTTTGTTTCTGCTATTATACTTGTGTGTGCGCACATGTCTTGCAGCAGCGGCCTTGCTTATTTTTTTCTCTATTATATATATACTGCGCACTACACACAATATATGCATATATACATTCTCATATGATGCATTTGTACGTGCGCCGCTACAACACACGCGCGCAAACACACGAGTATATAGTAAGAAAGGCTGGTGGGTGTTTGCGTCAGGTCTCTCTCTCTTTCTATGTTTTTCTATCTCTGTCTCTCGCGTATTACCGAGGATAAACAGGCCTTTTTCCTACACAAATACAAGACTGCCGATGTGTTACATATATATGTGTACCTAGAGACGTTTATTACAGTAATAGCTTGGACTTGTTTTCGTTGCCCGTGGTAGCTGTTGTGTGCCTTCGATTTACGTATATAGATACAATATGTCCGCGTGTGTGTGTTTTATTATTTCAGCAGCGATTTTTTCCCGAATTACCCCCCGCTCGCCGCACGCGGTTGGGCCAAATATCGCGATGATCGCCGAGTATACATCTTGTGCTTGGAAATTTACGAAATCTTATGTAAACGTGGTTTTTACAGGCACGTTATATGGAATATCGGTCATAGTGAGCTATTGCAGTCGAGACGTTACACTAAGTAGCTTGTCAGCATTGCTGACATTTTGTTGTATCTGTAAATAAAATTTATATACTAGAACCAAGCGCGAGCTATAAGGCATCGTAATAGCCAAATTGACTCGTTAACTCGAGAGTAAACAATTTTTTAGACTCAAATTTCATTGTCGTTATCAGCAGGGCATTTTGCTTAATTCTTACTAATTTTATGATATATCATGGTATTCTGTCGACTTAAATGCAAATTTTAACGCTAGAATTGTTTGCGCATTTTTATGTAGAAACATCAAAATTCAAGTAATTTGAGTTAAATTTAAGGAATTTTTTTTAATCCTATCGAAATAAATTTAACGTAAAGTTCTTACAAATGAATTCCAAGTACATCAATTTTCATGTATTTATATTAATTTTACACCTTTGAAATATGCCACCAGCTGTGTTGATAAAATAATTTTGGAACGGTTCTCTTATATAATTATTTTACTTTGTCACTTGCAGATTTGCACATGAAGTTACTCGCCATCTAGTGGTCATGGCTAGCTTTAATTTTGATTACATCGATTTTCTTAAATTTTTTGTACTCTCAATGAAAGAAACTAAATCAATATTACAAAATTAATTTTTAATAAAATTATTTAAATTTGAATATGTAATTGTTTTTGTTCGTTTTTTCATAAAAAGTAATCAGTACGATGATTGAATTTAGATGAAGAATTGTGCAGTTGAAATTAATTCTAATGTCTGATTGTACACGAAATATGCTTTTAATTTAATTTTTTTTTCAACAGTGCAGTGCAATCGCTTGCTGCCGAGTACGCACACACACGCGTTCGCGTCGTTCAAATCACGTGGTGAAACCGATGCAACTCATTGAGCTATTTTCGTCGGAAGGGTTTCGAGCCGAGGGCTGTTCTAAAATTGTAGCAAAATCCGAAACAAAGCCCTCTTGCCATGCACGCACATGAAGACTTTTTTCTGGCTTTTCCCAAATGCGCACGTACTACTGAAATCACTCGAGTTATTCCCCCTCTTATTAATCGCCAAATGTCAAAATAATTCATGCCTGCGTCGTTTATTACGAGGTAACTCCCATAATTCCCTTGCACAAAACGCAAGAATATATATGCTGCTCTTCGTCGATCGGGGCATAGCGTACTCGCAGATCGGCCCGCCCGAACGACAAGAGCTTAATGTAAGCTCCTTATGTAAGTAATCGTGATGGATTTACACCATTGCACATTATTTGCATGAAATACCACGGCGACGACTTGGCGGAAAAATGTTTGAAGATCTGTCGGGAAAAAAATCGAGCATCGCGGCTCGACGCCCGGGACAAGTTGGGCAACGGGCCGTGGGCAATTTCGCGCCGAAAACCGTCGAAATACTTTTGAATCGTGTCTCCGATCTGTCCCTCTTCGTTTTTCCCACTGAGGCTTATTTCGCCGAGGGATTGAAACCATGAAAACCAGTGGGACAATTTTACACTGAAACTAGCGTCTGGTGCTTTGATCATCATCGAAATTCTTAAGAAAAAAAGATACGAATTGTATTTGAGCCACGCCCTGACGATCATGAAATCGTTCACCGAGTACGGATTGTTCGAGAAACCGAAAAAACTGAAGAAAAGTTTGCATGACCACAACAAGTTCGAGGAGTTCATGTCAGGATTTCCGGATACATCGAGAGAGAATCAGTTCGAGCAGTCATCGGGACCCGGGTATGATGTCGAGTCGTTGGCGCAGGACCCGAAAAAAAATTATGATACAGCCGAATTTGTCGCTCCGCGAGGTGCTGCAGCTGCGACCCGAAGAGGCTGCAAAAAAATGCACATACGAGCTTGGCGCGCTCGAACAAATTGAATGATCTCCTCAGGACACTCTTGGATGATTGCACCGATCGTCTCTCTCGGGAGAGGATTTTTTTGCTTTCTACGGGCTCATCCACTATCGACTGCCGAATCTATGCTGTCAGATGATAATCGAGAAATTGATGAACGAGCATTTGTGCAATATTTGCTTAGCGACTGCGGTCCAAGGATCGTCTCAGTAACCATATTTTTAGTCTTTTTTTTACGAATGATATTTTTTAATATTGTATATTTTCCATTTCATCGTTCAAATAAATAAATGTAACAAAAAATTGAATCGAAAATAAAATTATCTTAAACATATTACTTTTTTGTGTTTGAATTTTACTCCTGCACAAACCCGATGACTGTCAAGCATACATCGGTACAATTCTTGCTCCGATTGGCACATAGGGTGCATTATTAGCCACTCGATCACTTCATTCGATCTATTATTTACGATTCATCGTGCCCTTAAATTATTATTACCACACGAAGCCATCTCATACTTATGATTTTTTTATTATTGTTTACTCATCTAGTCGTTATGATTTGTTTTGCACGTGATCCTACCTTCGCTTCTTATTTCTGTTTCAGATGTTATGATTTATTTCGCATCCAAATCATCTTCATCATCATCATCACCATCGTAGCTATAGATAATAGTGTCCGTGTACGTAAAAGTACAAGAGGAGATGCGTATAGGCGGCGCCGCGACGATGAGCAATAATGGCAGTCGCTTACTCGACGGGTATCCTGACGCGCAACTCCTTTAACGACCACTACAATCATCATCGCTCCCATCCAAAGGTATCCTCGTACGGCAGCAACGAGAACCAATTCACGACGACTCAACAGCAGCTACTGCAGCAGCAGCAGCAGCAGTCGAAAATGTTGGGAGTGAGCCAGCAGCCGGGCAGCTCGAATCTGCGCCACTCGGCGAGCTTCTCGTGCCTTCAGCGCGGCTCGTCCGACGTCGGCCACAGGGCGCGCACCTCGACCCTGCCCCAGCAGCCCGGATTGTTCACGACCGCGGCCCAGCTCACTGGTGGTGGCCATCACCATCACCATCACCACCATCACCATCATCATCGTCACAATCAAGCCTACGGAGCAGCTAACAACGGCGTCGGCGGCGGCAGTAATGGCGCGTCGTCGCTGCAGCTCGGCGGTCAACAGAACGGCAGCAATAGTCGCCAACCGGCGCTCAGCAACGATCTGTCCTCCTCCTACAACAACGCGGCGGACAACAACGAGTACGGCTTCGTGAGGATGAGGCCGAGGCTGCACAGCACCAACGCGGTCATGCTGAGAGGGAATCGAGGCGGCAGCGAGGACGACGTCATGTCCAAGTCGACGGGCTCGTATCTGGGCAACGGTATGACCAAGCAGAGCGTCGGCTACTGCGATCACGGCGGGAGTCATCATCAAGCGGCGGCCACTGCGACTCCCAACGAGTCGAAGAACACGTTGAGAGGTGCCCTCATATACTTTACCAATTCGACGACCAACTGGTGGAAGAACAAGCAGAACTCCATGTCGAGCGAGCCGGACATCAAGTGGACGACGACGACGACTTCGCCGGCGCAGGAGCGCAGATGTTGGCCACCGGGTGCCTCCTCGTCCACGTCGACGGCGGTCAAGGAGGCCAGCAGCAAGTGGCCCTGCGTCGGACGCGTACCGACCCCCGAGCAGCAGCAGCAGCAACAGCAACAGAGCACGAAAGAGGCGAGAAAGTGGAGCACTCCGTCCTCAAGTTCGTCGTCCAACAATAACAGTAGCAACAGCAACAGCAGCGCCGCAAGTAGCAGCAACAACAACAGCAACAATCAGGACAGACGATGGAAGTCCCTGGGAGCTTTGCTGAAGCCACTGCCGATCGGCAGCAGTAGCACCGCCACTCATCACTCGTCGTCGAACGGTGGCGGTAATTCGTCGCATCATCCGACCATTCGCCACAACGCGAGCATGTCGATGGCCGACGATTACCGGCCGGGCGATCGCAAGTCCTCGAGCATGGACAACAACGCCTCGTCGCAGATGGCCAACTACAGCAACAGCTATTATCGTCGCAAGGATCAACAGCAGCAGCAACAGCCTCAGACGCAAAAATTAGGCGCCAAAGCCAACGGTGGTGGTGATTATTCGACGACGAGCGGCAACAACGTCGTCAAGAGCCTCGAGGCCATAGACGTGGATCTGAGAAGCAGGCTGGAAGCCAAAGAGAGCACCCGCAGCTCGGCCCGGGCCCAGAGCTTTTATCTCCTCGACGACTTTCTGACTCCGCAACCGCCCCGGACGTCGACCAATTCGAGCTCGAAGCTCCACGAGCCATCGACCACTGCCAATACCATGAACGGAAGTAACACCACTGCCGCGTCGTCCTCTTATCCGCTGTTCGCCTCGACGTCGTCCATGTCGTCGTCCTACTCGGCCAGGCCCTCGATGAACGACCACCAGAACGGCATGAACAACGGCTTGAAGAGCAATCCGGGCTCGTCGATCGCCGCGCGCGCCACGATCGCCGCGACCAACATCACGCCTCCGCGACGGCACAACTCCAGCTCGGACAGTCTCGAGGTGGCGGCCAGTCCGCTGCCCCCGCCCGTGCCGCCGATGCCGCCGCAAATGACGAGTTTGACGAAAAGAAAAGCCTGCAGCTGCAAGGATTGCTTCGCTAATTTGCGACAGAAGCCGCTGCATAAAGAGGTTTGTGTTTCTTGACTTTTTCTTCTTCTTCTTGTTTTTTTTAGAAAGTAAAGGTGACGGTATCAGGTATATTAAGCAGTAAGCAGCAGATAGCCACAACACGTGACACACAAAGGAACCGTTTGAAACCGTGAAATTTTTTTCTCCCTCTCTCTGTCTCTCCTCGTGTGTCGTCGAGGACTACTGGAATTATTGAGTCATTTCTATCATTTTTATCGAGAAAGGAAAGGCATTTTTAAAAAGTTCAAGTTTCCATTCTTTGCGGTTAACGGTCGTATAAAGTAGTATATGGATCGCTATCTAATCGCGCGGCAATCGTTCTCCCTGAGAGCAGAAGAGAGAGAGAGCCCCTGTATACCGCGCGAGATTTCCTCGTATACAAGAAGAGGTCTTTATTACACCGATTTTTTTTTAAGTAGAAAATTTTACCGGCCGCTAATATTTGCCACTTATAAATAATAGCGCCATTCGGGTGTATCTTTACGAGTGTTAATGAACCGTTAAGTTTTTTGCGTGTGTATGCAGTAAACAACGCATCCAGAATCTTCCTCCGCTCTCCCGCTCAACGAGATGAAATTTTAAAACATATATCGGGAAATTCTCCCCTTTTGCTAAAAATGATATCGTAATCTCGCTCGCCCCGTATTCGTGCATTTGTCTAGCGCGGCGCGCGCCAGATACAGTCGCTGCTCTCTACTCGCTCGGTGTTCGATCGTTCGGCCTCGCATAAATTCAAGTAGGCACCGCACGGCACTGCACCACTGCTGTACAGGCGGCGTTGGGTATATACACATAAGATGCAGATACATTCATATCGCGTTACGCTCTCATTCAGAATTTTTTACACAATATAGTCCATTGTTCGCGCTTGTTCTTCTGCGCGTGTGCGCAATCGATGCACATATACGTGTGTGTGTGTATGTCTTACATGCACACTGTGCAGAGTACTGTGCGGCAACTACTACGGCGGCGACGGCGTGCATATAAGTGCATGCACCGTCGAGTCTTTTGCCCCGCGCGCGAGTCCGACGTTGTTGCCACCGCTGAGGAGAGACTTTCAAAAAAGTTTCTATATACACACACACGTGTGTGTGTGTACAGAGTTGTCTTGATCAAATATAGCGATCGCACACCGTACGCCAACCACCTTCTCTATTATACTAATGCCCGCCCAGCGAGTGAAACGTTATAATTGCGCGTCTATATAATAGTACGTGAAATTCTAATCCGCGTGAATTTTCAACCGTCTGTGTATGTGTGTGTATGTGGAGGATGAGCATCGGATCCTTAATTTGCTGCGTCTAATTAAAAAACATTACGAGTCGTGATTTTCGCGCGCATTTTGACACTACAGTGATTGCGCATTTTAAAGATGTACCCAAGTGCATCGTGACAATACACAGTCAGAAAATACGTCCTCGATACATACGTACACACGCAGAGAAGCAATGCACTCGTTTCTGTTTTTTCTTTTACTTTGCAGCTCCTTTTAATTTACATGGTGCAATTAGAGAGAGAGAGAGGAGAGTACCGTATTAGTAGACCAATAATCACGGCACGACAGTTATTAATTATGGGCACGCGGGTAGAGCGTGTGTATACGTGACACGAAGGTCGAGCCTTATGAATACTGAATGAACGCAGCCTTTTTTCCAGCTCTCCGTGTAATCGGTATCATTATATGAACTCTTCTGAGAACGATCGTTTTTTGTAACGTGCAAAAATCGACAGTCTGTATTTTGAAAAAGCTTGACTAATTGCCACCGCGTTCGAAGTATAATAATCCGTCAAACAAAGCAAAGTAAAGGAGCTCGGTTAAAAGGAGCTTGACGGGCGACGACGATCTATGGTTGTGTGTGTGTAATATATATATAGTAAAAATAAGCCACTGATTCCAGAGCCATCTGACTCGAGCGTCGGTACACAAGCTCGTGCCGGTGCTTTTTTAGCCTGCGTCGATAACGAAGGAATCGACGTCTTGGTGCGCGAGGCGAAATTCTACTTTCTCTCTCGTCCCGTGTAAGATAGCTCGACGTGTAATAGTGCAACATTTGAAAGAAAGTAGTTGAGATGGCGTGCCACACTCCATTCCACCGAAGCTTTTACCATGAATACCAAAAGTCAAAAAACATGTGTAATGCAAATCGACGTGTTCCCCATTATGGTGGATGCTTGTAATAAATGAATCTTTATCGTTGTATCAATCATTTCTTTGAATCTAGTCCAAAGACATATTATTGCTCGTTATTATCGTAAACAAGATATTGAATAATTAATGCTTTTATTTACATGTAAAGTAAGCGAATGTATGTTAATATCGATGTATGATTCAACATACTAGTGACGAAAGGAAATAATCGAAAAAATAACTATCGGTCTCAATAGCGAAATCTTCCCTTGTAACTGGTGTCTGTATACAGAAGTAAACGCGAGCTTATGATATTTCGCGTATCTCTGATGATTCACCACCGAGGCTAACTGACACTATACGCGTAAGTAAACGAAACTCGCATAAACATTTGTATAAATCAATCGCGCAGCCTGTTCTCTTTTTTATTTTTTCGTTCTGGGGCGAATCATATTGTGTGCAGTATTATAAATACACGCCGCGCGCGGTCTCGTTGCAACATTTTCTCCGTAAAAATGAAATCTCTGAAATCCAACGCTGCTGCTGCACTGCGTTGCGTGTATATTCGTAAAAACGTCAATTTACCGGGACGGGGGTATTAAGAAACTTTTACGCGGCTCTCGGATTTACAATCAGCGTTTGATTATGTTGAGTAAGCTTGTGTGCGCGTACGCGGAGATAGCTGTACGCGTAAAGGTGTATATTACACGCTGGCGCGTAATAATGTCGGGTTTTCACTTGGAAAACGAGAAAAAATGGGCAATGATCGAAGTGTTAGTCAGCATTTAATTCCGCGTGCAAACTCGATGTATAATCTTATTTTGGTCTTACGTCGTTTGTGCGCGTTCTAATCAGAACAAGGGGGGACATAGAAATTTCGTTTTACAATTTCACTCTCCACGTAGTGACGCGCGTCGAGGATTGGGAAAATTCGTTACCATCGGTCGTTCAAAGTGATCCAATTATAATGTCGAACGGTATTTAAACTGGCTTGGAACAATACAAAAGACGATTAATATTCATTTGAGTTTCAAAAGTACCGTGGACACGAGTTTGAATCGACTCAATCTGCACACAGATTTGTCATTTATTAATCCGAGTTTGCAAAAGATCGCTTGAAAAGCTGTCGCTTCGTTATCTATTTTTGGGACCATGAATATCGCAGGTTCGTATGGATTAAAAAAAGAACGAGTAAACAATGCAAAAAGACCGTCTGGCTGGCGCGAATCGACTCCAACATTTTCGTATGCTCGTCAACCGATCGAACACGATACAAGAGCTTTAATAAGACGAAAAGAGCGAATTTCAAGTAAACGTTACGAAAACGTATGAACGAAGCGAACGCATAAAAAGCATGCCAAGGATCCATCATCGTCATCATCGTCGTCATTTATCATGGTCCGAATCTTGGCCTGAGACAACGACATCGGCCAAACATCGCTGTATGTACACATTGAAAATTACCAAGCCCCGAACGTCCGTGTGTGTGTCTTGTGTGTCCTGCATGTTAATAAAAGCCGCAGGACAGGATGCAATACGACGACGACTACAACGAGGATACGTTGTAGTGCACGAACACACAGACACACACATATTCAGTAGCAGCAGTAAAAAAGGGGGCGCTGCCCGCGCGTAGGGATGCTGAAGAAGCAGCGGGAGCAGGCAGCAGGACCCGAGTAGCGCTAGTTCTCTCTTCCTCATATATTGATCCCGCTATATACCAGTGTGGTAATAGGAGCAGCAGCAGCAGCGGAGCAAGAGAGAGAAAGCGGGTGCAACCACCCCCTTAACCAGTACACACACCCCCACCTCCGAAACGAACCAACGCACACACACGTACGTAGAAGAGAGAGAGCGCGAGACTCTACACCAACACAGGGTCAAATAGACACCAATACGACGAGAACGAGAGCGCATAAACGTGTATGAGTGTGCGAGAGAAAGAGCGAGAGAGCCCGGCGTCGGCGCCTAGGTTCATCGTCGTCGTCGTCGTCATAGTCGGAGCCAGCAGCAGCAGCAGAGTCGTCGACGACAAAACTCGCTCTGACTCGCGTCCAGCATCAGTGTGTAGTTCACGTCACGGCGCTGCATCGGTCACACAGAGAATATATGCACACACAGCACACATCACATACATCTACACGGTGCACTGATTGTTATTATCACACGCGCGAAGCGCTCGGCGCAGAGCAAAGCACCGCGCGTCCATCCATCTCTCTCTCTCTCTCGCTTGTATTATTTCTCCGATTCGGAGTGCGTTAATTCTTACATAGTCGTACACACCTACACACATACACATACACAATTTCGCGCAGCTACATAGCTGCTATCAAGCGCCGAGCGAGCGAGAGCCGCGGCGCGCGAGGGCAGGAGAGTACACATAGGAGTAGTGGTGGTGCGTGGGCGTCGACTGCACTCCGCGCTGCACTCCGCCACAGCCAGTGCCTCCGTAATAATATAAAGTATATACACGAAACACAAGCGAGGAAGGAAGGAGGAAGCGCGAAAAGTGAAAAAGTGAGAAACAGTGTTGTTCTGTACGTGTTTTTGATCGAAACAGGACACGAAGGAGGTTGGCGTAACACAAATAATAATAATAAGAATAACAAGTGTGTATCTAGATCTCTATGTGCGTCTATGTGAGCTTCGCATAATAATAATGTAAGTGCGTGCGTGTCGGCTATATATATACGTAGGTATGTGTGAGTATGCACCCTCTCTGCGTTGAGGTGCGCACTCACATATTATTACACGCACTTGGCACTACACCATCGACTGCGATGACGATGTGTCTGTGTGTGTTTGCACTTTGTTTGTTTATTTCGTTTCTGTGTCACACGACGACGACGTGCTCTTCTTTCGCTGTGTAATGAACGAAGCGAGGCTAATGTTTTTTTGTCTAGGACATTTTTTTCTGCTATTCATGTACAAAAGAATAGGGCCAAATTGCACTGTTGCATTGCCAACCCCCCCAGCAGCAGCAGCAGTAGCAGCAGTTGTTTTCTCTCTCTCTATCTATCTCCTTTTCTTACATTCAACCCCCTGCACTGTACGTGGAAGCGGGCGTCTTCTTGCGATAGGACAAAATTAAATTTACCCCCGTCGTGTACCTGACTATATAGAGTTCCGTTACTTTGTCATAGCAATTAAAAAACTTTAATTGAATCGCTAAAATCGTATGTATCCTCGAATCTCGTGAAACTTCTTCGTGTGTGTGTGTGTAAGTTTTTAATGGGGTTTTTGCCTTGGGATGTCAACTCGGGCGAGCGAACGACGACGACTCAGAGTCAGCTGTCACGAATTATTACAAAAAAAAACATTAAAGGAAAAAAAGTCGAGCGTGAAACAAGCGACGAGATCATTCGACGAGTATCATACGTTAGGCCGTCAGAGAATCTGTCATTATACTCCCTCTTTCGAATAAAAAAACTATATGCACACGAGCGCGAGAGGTATATACATGTACGCGAGAAATTGAAAAGATTATAAAACAAAAGAAGTCTCGCGCGTTGCCGTGTGCCGCGTTGGGGGGCTATTGATTCAAGCTCGTGCCAGCGAGTAATTTTTCGTGTCAACGAGAGAGAGAGAGAGAAGGGACCCTTTGATGGAATATTTAAGCCGTGCATGCAGCACATACAGCCTCGGAGCTCTCTCTCTCTTTATAGATAGTTGTGGTGTGCGCACTGGCTGCGACGTGAGTCTTTTTTTTCGTCGTCTTTTTCTACTTCTTTTTTTTGCCTCTATTACGACGACGAGTAAGCAAGATCTCGTTTCGCCTCTCTAACTCGTTTGAATCTTAAAAAAACATAAGGGAATGAAGAATAAAAAAAATCATCCGCTATATAATACTTGTACGAGTCGTGTGCGCGCATTCGACATATTGCAATGTACGTGCATAAGAAATAGAGTTGGAAAAAATATATACGAGCTTTTGCGATGCATCGTTGCGCGATGCGATCGACCTTATGCAATTCGAAGCAGCTCGAGTGGATATATAGGTGCGTTAATACATCTCTTATCTAAGAGTGCAGTAAACACGCGGCGGCGCTATATACGTCGTTATAAAGCGAGAGATCTTTATTAAGTATATACTACTAAATTCGAATCCCCCAACGAGTCCCAGGCGTAAAATGAATTTTCATCGGGCGTGCGCGAGGTGGCGGCTGCCCAAACTAAATCATCGCTGCGTCGGATAGAAAGAAGGTAGGAGAAAGAGAGAGAGAGAGAGAGAGAGAGAGAGAGAAGTGTAAAGAAAAAAAGTTTTAAAAAAAGTCAGAGGGGGGCTATTACGAGATAGCTGCCCACAGCTCTCTGGCTGCGTGCGTGCATAGTATATAGAAAAAGACGCGTCCGCGCGCGTGTAATAATAGGTGCTGCTGCTGTGGTGACTGCATATTTTTCACTCCTCTTTTTCTTTTCTCTGCTGCTGCTGCTTCTCTCGTATATAGTACATTGTAAATTTTTTTAATTTAAAAAACAACTCGTCGACCATTTACCGAGGTTATTTATCAGGGATTATCGCGCAGTTTGACGAGGACGTGTCGTCTCGCGATCTTATAACTCTCGAGTAACAAAAAAATAAATAAAAAATAAAAAAAGAAAGAAATAATCGATGACTTAACGCGTCTCTCGTGCGCGAGGCGAGCTTTCAATTACATCGCGCGTTGATCGTTATCGGTCTCCCACCCATTAAAAAAATAAAATGAAAATAAGCTCGCGAAACTTTGTGCGAGCGAAATCGACCTTTTTTACGTGCGCGTAATATATAATAGTTTGTTACAATTATCGCTTACAGGTATATATACAGCCGAGAAAAAGATCAGAAGCGACGACAACGACGTTCGATACTCGAGTTCTCTCTCTCTCGATCTATCGTCGATATTACGTCTCTATAATATAAGTCGTGTGCAAGTAGTAGGGCTCGGTGGTGTTAATCGGTCGCTCGGCTTTATATACAATTTTGCGCAATCCTCTCCTCGACATACGTACATCGTAATAGCCTTGCGCGTATTATATTATATTGTATACGAATATAAGCGCGTATTTATACCTGTACAGTACACCGTGTATATCCCGCGCAGCAGAGTATTATACGAATTTCTCGTGGCTCTCGAGAGCTGCTCCATAACGCAGCAGTATTGCAATGTAGAGTATATATTTCGCGCACTCCTGCCTCACGTGGCTAATGATATTTTGAAAAACAATACCGCCTATAATGCCCCGGCTAATAGGCTGCCTATTGAAATCGAATCGAGGGGCTTTAAAAGCTGCTGCCAAGTGCAGCAGTATAATTCGTGTGTGCTCTCTGTCGATTCCAAGCTCCGTGATGGTGGTAGTACGTGCTGAAACCCACACGCGTTATTGCACCGAGCAGCAAAATTTATTAATAAACAGGTGAGAGAGCAAGGCGTATACGCACACCAATAAAAGTTGCGGCGCATAACGAAATTGCGTAGCTCGCGCGAAAGCTCGCGAAATTCCTCTCGTCGTCGTCGGCGGCGGCTCTCTATCAATTCAGGAACGCGAAAACTAGTTTGGCTTCTTTCGTGTGTGTGCGTGCAGTCCGTGTACTTGCACGTACACAGTGCATATATACCGACACACGGCCGCCTGCATTATACATGAGCCACGCCAAAGGCTCGCGCGTACACACACACTAAGTAAAACGATAAGATATTGCGCCGTAGCAGCCACCTTATGCCAGTTATACAGAGAGCTGTGTTTAAGAGTCTGTTAGGAATTCCCTCGATAGTGCCTGGGCTGCAGCGGCTGCAGCAGCGCGTGCGGGCCGCGCCGGAGCATGTACACCAGCACTCGGCATTACTAATCGAATGAATAATGAAGATACCCTTGGCCCTTTGATATATACGCAGATACTGTACAAAGTCGCGCGTCGAGCGAGAGAGTGAAATTCGTCTACTATATGTATATACTTTTAAGCGAGAGACAAATAGGCTGCCTTCTCTTTAACATTTATTCGCGCGCTGCAGCACCGCTGGTGCTACATCATCATCATCATCGTCGTCGTCGTCGTGCATTTATAATATAATGCGCCGCGCGCATAAAATAAAAATATGTAATGCATACGTATGAATGGCACGCATCGCGCGAGCCACCGCGAAAGAAAAACGCGATGGGGAAAGAAGAGAATATCGCGTGGACGCAGGGGGAAAAAATAAAACATCGCGACACGTCTGCTCGTTGGAATCCTTCGCAGCTCGCTCGCTCACTCGCGCGTTCGATTTTTTTCTCCTAAAAATTGCCGTACGCGCGCAGCGCACACGAGCGAGAGGCGAGGCGCGTAGGAGAGAAGAAGAAGAATTCACGGTATTTTCTCTCTGCGCTGGCCGCGTGTGTCCCGTGCCCCGTGTGTCGTTCTCGCTCACGCGAATCACTGGACCTGTTCGCATTCTCTCTCCTCTCTCGCTCGCGATATCCTCTCGTGCGCGTATTCCTGCGCCGTGCAGGTTTTGTCCTGACCGAGAGCCGAGAGAGCTGCTATATGTGTATTAAAAGCACATCGCAGCTCTGTATATACAGAGAGCCGCCGAGCCGCAACTGAATAATCTGTCGTCATTAATAACGTCGTCCGTCGTGTCCCTCGAGCTCGAGTAAGCCTTCCTGTGTGTGTGTGTTGGCCAACATTGCAGCACACACACACAGACTCGCGCATTTATGTACGCATCAATGTTTCGTGGAATCGGACCTCCCATTTAAAACTCATCTTTGTTCGCGCGCGTCTCGGCCACATATAATATAATATGCGTCACTATACGCGCTCGAGCTCGCTCGCGCGCATATCTTTCGTTTACGATAACAAAATTTCGAATATATCTCGACTTTTATGCGCGCTTACATTCAGCATCCGTGATAATTCAATGAAAAGCCCCAGAGGCGCGAGCCATAGCAGCTTGTAAATCGCTAAATAATCCCTATATGTATAACGTTATATATTCATAGGTTAGAGAGAAAGAGAGGAAGAGAGAAAGAGCAAAGGGACCATCGAGTTGGCATTAGTGCAGACCGTATACTGGCGGCGGCGAATAGAGCATACGTACCTACGTATAGATATTTTAAGGCGAACAAGGGAATAATACTGAATAATGGCCCTTGCGGGTGTCACAATTAATTTGACCTCGATAGAGAGCTTGCGCTGCTGCTGCTGCCGTTGCCGCTGCACGCCGAGTAATTAGAAAAGTTTTGCTGCCCTCCGTGTGTTTGTTCAAAACTGCGCGCGCGAGTATAGTCGCCGTCTGATTACGCAGCAGCAGCAGTGGTAGTAGCGAGCGACGGCGACGGCTCTCTCTTAACTTTGCGCAACTGTACTACGCGCCACTGTAATAGTAGTATAAAAGCTTTGGTAAAAAATAAACACTTACGCGGCGCGAACGACGACTGAGGCGCAAGAAGCAAATGAAATTGTTTTATCGGATTGAAGCAGCGGCAGAGCCGCGATTGAATCGTTAGCCTCGGCTTTTAGCCTAAGAGAGCAAAGTCGTAAGAACACAGAAACGTCAATATTAAACATCCTTCGTCGTGCTTTATAGTGTGTGTGTGTATCCGTCGAAAAAACATGTAGACTGTATAACCGAAGACTGCGAGGATCATTGAAATTTCAACGGAGAGCTTTAATATTTGCGACTCGTGAGAGATAAATAAACAAGCCGAGTCCGAGAGATTCTATCCATCGTACGATCGAGGAATTGCCAATATACAAGCCGCACACCATCATGGACGCCCTCGAGCTGCAAGCCGCGCTGGTGAAGCTCGACCCGGCCACCACCGTCACGTCTTTGGGCGTCTCGGGCAACGTCAATCTCGTCGCCGGCTACAACAACAAGAGCAGCGGCAACAGCAACAACAGCAACAGCAACAGCAATAACAGCAATAACGAGCCGCCGCAATCTCTAAAGTTGAGCAGCAGCAGCATCAGCAGCGGTAGCGGTGGCGGTGGCGGCAGCCACCATCACCACCATCATTACCATCATCATACGTCGAGCAGCGGCGGTGGCAGCTGCTGCGGCGGCAACGATAACCAGAAAGTTAGCAGCGTGTCGAGCTCGACCACCACCACGACGACCTGCCACGGCGGAGCTTGCGGCACCGCTGCGGCGGCGGCGGCTCAACGCAGCAACAAAGTTCAGAGCAAGAGCACGGCCAGTCAGACGGTCAAGTTGGTCGAAGCCGGTGGCGGTGGTGGTGGTGGTCATTTCGGCGGTGGTGGCAGGTGACGTCAGACCTGCACCAGCAGCAGCGGCCCTGGCTGCGGGCCCAACGGCATCACCGTCTATCACACGTATCCGCCGCACCGGGCCGCCGGCCGACACCATCACAAGAGCGCCACGAGAGAGAAGAGGCACCATCACATGCATCATCACTATCACACGCTGCATCACAAAAAGGACCGCATCATGGTAAGCGATGATTTTGTGTTCGTGTATATCGATTGACTCCCAATGAGACGCACGATTTCATTTCCCGAGAAAGACGCAGTTAAATGTATCCTCTTCGATTCTTGGAAGTGCGTAGGTGCAATGTTTTATATAGGTAGTATACGACGATCGCAGCGGGCGAAATTAGCTTACAGCACGCCAGCCACGAGTCGGAGGATATAAAATATTGCGAAACTTATATAATGTGTTATTTGTCGGATACAAGTTTCGTATTTTATATATATACGAGAGCTGCTTAATCTTCGGTCGATCCCTTTCAACTTGATGATTATATAGCAGCAACCCGGGCTTATACATAATAAAATAGCACAAAAATGGATTGGTTATTGAGAGAGAGACAAATGAAATTGGCTCGTCGGCGCGGGCCTTGAAATTGCCCGTTGAATCATCCACGGCTCACTTTTTTGTTTCTCTACTATACTATATGCCGCCGCGAGGAAAACGACTACCCACGCACCTAACGCGATTCCCTCGCGCCTCAGCGGAGAGAGAAAGAGAGTCTATACACGCACAGATCCGAAGGTGAAGCTAACGGGATATTGAAAGTTTATAGTGCATATAGGTATATTATATTGAGATATGTTTACGATAAATAGAGTGAGCAAGGATTATTTGTCGGCGGCGGGGGAGGGTTGTACATTATGTACGTATACGCCAGCGCAAACAAACAGAAAGTAGGATCGCGCGTTATGTAGCTCGAATATCCTCCCCCGCTTTCAAACTTTATACAGTCGACTTGATGACGCGCGGGTGGGTGAAAGCTCTTCTTTCTTCTCTCTCTCGTTTCTCGGAGCAGCAGCAGCGGCAAAGCTTTACGCTCTGTGTGTATATACATAAGCGCGCGTCACTTGGTTGAAGCTTTCGTAATAATCCTCGTTTTGTGGCGCGCGCGCGCTCGGCACGCGCTATCTTTTATAATCACAGAGCAGCGACGGTACAGTAGTTGGACTAGATCTCGCGCGCTCTCGCTTCCGTGCCCCTTTTTTTTATCATTTTTATTTCATGTAATTGCAGCGAGAGGCGACAACGAGCGACGACTACGACTGTGAAGCGCGCGTCATTTCAAAATTGCTGAGCTTTTCGTTCGTCGTCGCTCGAGACCGTTTATTATTTTACATATATACCATGCACGAAGTCGATTATAATCGATTTGATTGCAGCCGTAGCGTATACGTACGAGTAGCGATACAGGCCAGTAAGTTTCTGATACGGCCGAAAATAATTAATAAAAACGCAATATTATATTTCACGTGTGTCAGTGCGGAAGATGTGTCGTGTGCTGTATTATATGCGCGCGACGCAACACAGCAGCTTAGCGCCTGTATACGTGTGTGTGCGACGAAGAGAACGAGAGAGATACCGAGAGAGAGCGAGAGAAATGAACGAAATCGAGGTCAATGAACATGGGGGTGTTTTTCTACTGCTTCTGCCAGTACTGCTGCTGCTGCTATTATGGACGCGCCGAAAATCGATTTTCGTCCGGCGGCTGGCTGGCTGACTGGCCGTGCTGTGTGCTGGTTTACGCGCAGACGCTGCTGCTGCTGCGGGGCACTTGTACACATAAAAGCACATACCTATATACCGGCTTGTGGCACCAGAGCTCTAACTCTATGGCTCTCGTGTCGCGCGTATATATTTCGTTATAAAGTAGTGGAAGTATATAGATTCGGCGACCGAAACTTTGCGATATCTGCACGCGACGAGCGACGACGACGACGACGACGACGAAACTTTAACTTTGCCATCGCGAGCTTTTGCGCGCGGCCCCCGTATCCAACTAAAAGAGACTTTATAATAATATCGATCCTACGTATCGAGCCAAGTCGACCGGATAAATCGAGTCTCCTGAATTTTGCCTCTTGATTTTTATCGGTGCGACTCTATATGTTATACGCTACACAGCAGCAAAAAACGCAGCCAGCTAGAAAGCCTAGCTCGCACACGGTATGTATATAATATAAATCTATATATCGTGTAGTAGCTGGTATCAGCGTGTAGCTGTGAGCTTGTCGCGTCTCTATTGGATTACGAAGTCAGGTTGAAACTCGAGCGCACTCGCCACGTCGTAGTACCACCATCGGCTAGCGGCAGCACCGCCCACGCACCCACACACACACACAGACTTTTACTATATGTATAGAGGCGGACGTTGGTTAACTTAATAAGGAGCCCTTGAGCACTTGGTCTTCGCGTGTACTGCTACTGTTACTAGCACTATATGGTATAAATGTATCGGACGAAATTGAGAGCAGCTAGCCTAGCACACACACACAGAGCTAACAGCGTGCTCGAGAGCTCTGCGGCCGACGTAGCGCACGACGTCGCGCGCGCAGTTCCGTAGTCTCGGGCCTGCTGTCCGCAAGTGCGCGAGCCTGATACGTTTTAGAAAGTGCTGCAAGCTCTGGCCAATGGTTGGAGCTTTTTTACTTGATTTTTGTTTGGTTTTGTTTATCGATTCATCGTCGCTTGAGTCGCGCTGAGGACACGTCATGACTGTGTCTCTGCTACGCATACTGGTAAATTTTGGAAGACGTTTTACTATTGTTATTTTACGAGATTGCCCTCGTGACCAGGAGGGGTCACCTACCTTTGTGCCGTATAATAATTGACGCGCGTACCGCACGCATCTTTTTTCGATTTTTTGTTTACTGAATCGCGCGGGGATGATTAACGCATTCGATGGCCTCGATCGCGCGCGAGTTTCCTTCTCGTGCATCGTCCGTACCTCATTATTATAACGATCGATCGAGTATGTGATTTATATTTGTGATCCATAGGCCACAGCTGCTGCTGCTGCTTCTGTATTATGTGTTGCACTTGCGCGCTAAAAGCGACGCGATCGTTTTCTTTGCCAATATAACTCGATCTTTTATTTTGCGACAACGACTATTTTCAGGCCGCGTCGATCGTTCAATAGTTTCTTGAACTTTTCTATATATATACCACATATGCGACTTGCATATATATTTGTTTTTATTTTATTATATTGAAAAATTATCGTCCAGCGCGTTGTGCACTCGAAAATAACTTCAAGGACTTCGACTTTCAAGTTTATATTTAAAACTATATTATATAGCTGCGCTTTAACGCTATACATCATCGTCATCGTCATCATCATCATCATCGTCTTTGACTTATCGGTTGTTTGAAGCTCGAGAGCGAGAAATACAAATTAATTTCTAATCCGGACCTCTTTATCGGCGCGACAATTACTCTATTTATCCGGCCAAAAGTTTAGACGACGAAAACAATCGCATTGTCTCGACGACTCCTTTGTATACGAGATTCGGAATCGACGACGACGCAGCAGCAGCAGCTAAACAACTACTTACTACGGACTCCTGTGTGCTATGAAGCAAAAAAAAAAAAAGAGATCTTGAAATGTCAATTACAGTCGCGCGGGCTGCTGCAGCTGCCCATTGTTGTGCCCGCAGCAGTAGCCAGTGTTGTTGTGTGCCACTAACTATATTTATACATCTACACGAAAATCACTGGCGCAAATCCTGACGCACACGAGGAATTACGTACATAGACAGGCAACTTTGGTTTAATTAATTATTTCATCCACTTTTGTTCGAATCTCAGAACCGCTACATACGTACACGTGCATGTGTATGTGTTGGTCATCGGGGAATTCTGCGAGCTCCGCAGCTCTTATAAATTTAACTTATGTTATTATCTTCTGCTCCTTTTTTCCTGCTGCGTACGTGTATACCCGAAAAATACAAGGCTCTCGCTCTCTCGGCTGCGCACTTCGCTCCGCGAGCACAGCTGCTGTACAGATAATACATACACAAAGACACCAGCACCAGTGCATGTGAGTGTGTTCCAGACACGTGAGTGTGAGTGAGTGCGTGTGTGCATAAACAAGTTGCTGCAGCAGCAGCAGCAACACAAGAGTCGAGAGTCCGGTCTCTGCGGCCGGGGAACCGGTTATCGCACTTCTCTCTCTCTCCCCCGTGTTCTCGTTCGTGCGTATAACTGCAATATCTGCGGGCATCGGGACACACATTTCTGATGGTATGAAAACTTTATTCTCTCTCTCTCTCTCTTTCGCTCAGGAAATTTACTCGATATCTCGTGTGCAGGCGCGCGCGCGCAAGCCTGCACCACCAAGTGAATATATTCTTATTGCCCAGTATGCGCGGTATTTTCCATGTAATGTATGCACGAACTTTGGAGCTGCTATAATCGAGAACTTTGCTTGATAATAATTGACGCACTTTGCGCCGATTTTTTTTTTTGCTTCATGGCACTCGACGAGAGTCGGGGGGGGGTTGCGTGGTGGAAAACGTGCGCGATCTAGCTGCGATCGTTATCAATCGTATATTATACCAAGGTCAAAGGGAGGTAGCGTAGCGCTCGTTGAAAAGGCGAACCCCATTTTATCGCGCCTATTTTTCTTTCTTATGAAAAATTGACGTGTTGAACGGCGTAAACAGTTTTCGATCTAAGCAGCGAAATAGAGCTTGCAGAATTTAGGGTGAGCAATGAGCGCTAATATACAGTGTCTGACGTAATAAAATTGACATCAACTTAGGGGGTTCAATATTTTATTAGATTATTACAATGATTAATGTACCTCATTTTCCTTCGGAAATTCATTATTTTTTTTAACTTAAACTTTGTACATAATGAGGTAACATAGAAAGAAAGAATAATATTGTTATAAATAGCTAATTTTAAATTATTATCAAAATATTTAAATCAGATTTGATACGTTCATCAATTTGTGTTACGTGTGTGGTGTACTGCATCGATATGCTTCCGACGAATATTCATTCTTGTGAATTCTTTTATATTTCACATATACAAGTGATTGCACTATTGTGCACCTTATTGAAGCTTTTTTGAGATTAAATTTATTTGGATATTTCATATGTATACATCGCATGCCCGTAAGACACTAATGTGCTTTGAATTAATGTGAACTTTGAGATTCCTTTTTTTCAGTAAAAGACTTTCCGCAAACATGACATGCATGTCTGATACCGTTGTGCACTGAATGGACGTGGGCTCTGAGATAATATTTTTGTGAAAATGTCTTATGGCCTATACCACATGCATGTGTGATACCGTTGTGCTTCGAATCGACGTGGATTCTGACAGTTCTTTCATGTGAAAATTTCTTACCGCATACATCACATGTATGCGTGATACCCTTATGTATCGAATTAATGTGGTTTTTCATATTATCCTTTCTTGAAAGAATTTTTCCACACATATCACACGCCCATGTAATACGCTTATGTACCGAATCAATATGCTTTTTGATATAATCCTTCCTTGAAAATTTTTTTCCACAAATATCACAAGCATGTCTGTCACCATTATGCTTCGCATTAACGTGGATTTTCAGAGTAGACAAAAGTTGAAATGAATTTCCACAAGTATCACACGCATACGTGATACCCTTATGTACGGAATCAATGTGCTTTCTTACATAATTTCTGCTTGAAAATGTTTTTCCACAAATATCACATGCATGTGTGACACCATAGTGCTTCGTATTAACGTGAACTTTGAGATTACTCTTAGTCGAGAATTTCTTTCCACACATTTCACATGGATAGGTCGTATCATTATGCATTATACCGCAGTATGTCTTGAGTCTACGTTCACTGTTAAACTCTTTTATAATTCTTCTTTTTTTATTTTGTTCGACGAGTTCACAGTCGAAATTCGAATTCAATTCTTCGGTGTAGTCTCCAAAAAGTTCCTGTTTCAACTCCTCTGCGGTTTCAGTTAATAAATTAATATTGGGTTTGACGTCTTCACATTCAACGATTATTTTCACTTCTTCATCCAGTACACTTCTTTGATTAACGCAACATTTTCTAAATGTATGGATCTGTTGAAAAATCAAAGCTATTTAAGATTTTCCCATTAAAAATATATGTGTATGGTACGAGTTACATATAATCATTAAAACTTACTTTATTTTCTCGCAGAAATGGTAAGAGCTGGGAGTTTTTAAGCTCGGGTTTCTCGTCCATCATTTCACTATCATTTTCCCTAAGCGACACATCGATAGGCTCTTCTTTCACTCTGAAATAACCTCAACAAGACCAATCATTATAGGTTATAATTTTTTTATAATTTCATTCTCACAAAGTGAAAATTACCTGACTGCCCAATTCAGTATGTTACCACTAGATTCCATTGTTCTCGCTTGGAATTTCGTTAAAAACTGACCCGCCTGTGATAATTTCACATATCAAGCTAACTAAACCGAAAAACTGCCATAGAGACATGTGTTACGTTTGCTATATTTTGAAAAACTGCGTTTATGCCTATATGAGTACCACAGCTTATGCGCGACAAACTTGGCGTACGGCTCCTCGTTGGCAGCAAAACGACGAAGAGGTCATGCATGCGATACACACGACGTAAACAACAGAACGAGCAGAAGCTCTGCGCAGTGCTCTTCGCCAGTTCAGCTTGAAATCGATTTACTGATATTTACAAATCATGTACGATCGAATTTCGAAATTTTCAATGCGAATCAAAGCGAACCCTAGTCGAAACATTTTTCCATCAACGAGTACATTATTATGGAAAAATGAGAAGCACACAGCTGAGGCAAGAGCAATGGTAACATACATAAAACCGTATTGACGCAGCAATCCAAGCGTATAATACAGTCAATTTAATGCAATAAATCAGTTGGCAAAACAATGGATTATTATAAAACCAGCTCCGCGGGATTAAATATATAACGAAATAGTTTTCATTTGCAAACACACACACGTGTGCTGGGTACATTTTACACGGCATACGCTTAATATGTATTCGCTGCGAGTCTACCGAACCGAGAAAAATGTACACTGCAGCCTAGGCCTCACCACCATGCATGCATGCACGCGTTGTGAAGTTGTAATACAAAACTCGCGCCGAGATTAGATGATTCAGATAGTAAGACGCAAGGATATAGCAAGTCACGCGTGTAAGTGTGCATATGTGCGTATATGCACTGATGTTTATATACGCGAAGCTCCGTATCTAAAAACGCTTTGCGCTCGTATGTGTACACTATACCCTGGTCGAGGTGCTGACAAGTATAAAGGCGCGATTATGCTATGTACGAAAAATTGGATAATAAGCGAGCGCGAAAACCTGTAACTGCACGCGGCTTTAAAAATTTGATTTATTGCGAGCGAGCGAGCAAGAGAGAGAGCATAAAAACACAATTGCACACGTGGTATACATTGTGTCTGTGTTACGTAGTATATACACATTGAAAGAGAGAACGAACGCAGTGTCGAGTTTTTTTTTTGCTACAGCAGCAGCAACAAAGCAATAAGAGAAAATCCGGAGCAGAGCGTGTAATGCATTGCGCGCCGTGGCGTATTATCGATCGGTCATTTTAATTCTTTATACCCTATTGGTACTTTCCATTGTTTTATCACTGTGCGAGTTGCAATTGTAAAAAAAAGGAGAAAAAAAAACGTTACTAGTCCACCGTAAAGATCTCTCTCTCTCTCTCTCTCTCTCGCTCCGCAGCCGGATAAGATAAGGAAGCCTGCAATTGAGCGCAATTGCGGGCGCCCACGGTAAAAAATTCAACGGTGCGTATTATATATTATATATAGGAGGTACACTTGATCGTCGGTCCGAGATGAGCCGCTGCAGCAGCTCCGTGCCGCATCCAATATTTAGCCCTGGCTCTCGCGTAGCAGTACTAATTCGATGCTGTATAGGACTGAACACACACATATGCCAGTGTTATATTTCGGGACAAAGAACTTTAAGAGCAGCATGCGTAGAGGCTACCACTATGCTACCTTTAGAAAATAGGCTATAGCAGTTGTGCCTAGATATTTTCGACTTTTGGCACTACTTATAAGCTTCGATGCTCGCTTTAGGTATATATAAAATAATAATAATAATAATAATACTCGTATCTCGCGAGCGCGCTCGCAGCCCGAGAGGAGCTGACTGCCGCTGCTGTGACCTACTTTCCGCGCGTCTCGATATTACCTTTTTTCCCCCCTTCATATTTCTGTACTTTGAGAACCTACATGTGTGTGTGTGGAGCGGATGATCGCCGAGCGAGGTGTTTTTCGTTCGTACGTATACGTTTCTTCGGAAAATGAAACTTTTTTTTCACTCGAGCGCATCGATATACGTATGTTTAAAAACGTATATAAAGCTGGGCTTATAACCGCCTCGCAACTTTCGGCGTTCGAACTCATGATATCGAGCTTGCAAGCTTCTCGTGCGAAAAAAGCTCGAACTTTATTGCTGGATATAAGTGGGGCCGAAAAAATTATTATCGCACGTAAGCCGGCATTATAAGTCCACCGGTCTGTGTGTCAGCGGCCTCACGACGATCGTGCGTCGTGCACTAGCTTGTTCTAAAAATTGCCCCCTCGGCCGCGTTTCGTATTAGCTGACGCACTGCACTCTTACTCTTTCTCTCTCTCTCTCTCTCTCTCGGTCTCGCTGCGTACGGCTTAGCTTAGCCGCTGCTATACTCCTCTCTCGCTCTCATTGCGCAACGAGCGACAGAGAGAGAGAGCCTATATAAGTTGACGATTCGAAACGAGGTATATATCAGCTGTTGGGAGCGAGAGAGACACTCCTCTCTTGGCTCTCTCGACAGTAGCAGCAGAAGCAGTCGGCGAGACGCCGTAGAGAGCCACGCAAAAGCTAATAAGCTCTGAGCTCGCGCGAGCTTTGATCTACGCGTAGGCGAGCTTTATTGCGAGCTTTCGCCTCGAAAAACCACGTGCGTGCGTGCGTTAAGTGCAGTATTGTTTAGTGCTGATGCCGGAGAGGTGTGATCTTATATACACATCGATTGCGCGTGTCTGTGTTCTGTGCACCAGTTGGGACGATCATCGGCTCGGGCAGTTTGAGTGCACCGTTATATTATGAATCCATAAGTGCACGGCGTGCGAATTACGAGCTTTTACGCTTGTGTGTGTCTGTGTGTGTGCGTGTCGGTGACAATTAGCTGGCCTAACTCGAGCTCCGACCAAAGTGATCTTAATGAGTAAGCATCGTCGTCGTCGTCGTCGAACCTTCGTGTGCTAGAGAGCTGGTGGCTGCCTTTGGCCATCATCGATTTTTGGTGTTTACCCCCCGATTATCCGAACCAATCCTATAGTACTCTCTCTGGTAGTATATAGTATACCTAGTAATTCCGGGCCGCCGCCGCAGCGATCGATGCCGCTGCAGCTGAGATGAGCTCGAGCTTTTTCGGCGCGCTCGGTTTTTTCGATTGCGTTCCTGCTGCCGCCGCCGACACCGCGAGCCCGGTGCGCGATCACTGGATAAAAATGAAATTCTTCGTCAAGTACTGCGAATTCTTCAGCGTCAAGTTCTCGGTGAGATAAAATAACAAGAAATCGAAGGCGAACGATCGATCAGCCGCGAGCTTCGTCATCGTAACATACCCATGTGCAGCAGCTTTTTTCTCATGCTTTACTATACATCATGATCTCTATTTATAATATACTTTTGAGCTCACACGCGGCTTATCATCGGAAAAATTCACACATCATCGATTCATCGCTTCTTAAATAATAATAATAATAATAACAAAAACCACGATAACGATGAAAAGTCGTTGGCTCGGCGATGTATGACTCGCCGCGCGGTAGCATTACTCACGCATTAATTAGCGGCTATGATACTTCGACTAAGCCTATATAGCATAGCTTAGCGTGTAAGCAGCTACCTATTAGCCGCGAGTCGCATTCGTCATGCCACGGCGCGAGCGCGAATCATGCGCGCGGATTTGAAAATACGACTCAACGACACTTCCTGTGTGTGTAATGCAACAATGCTGCATTTTCATCATTCGTTATTATAACGCGCATAGGTCCACGCGATATTTCGTGTATTCGGCACTTGAGTCGAGTCAAGATGTTTCGTATATACTTCTTTATTATACACGCTGCGAATAATTGCGTTTCGGTGCGTGCGTACGCAGTAGCAGCAGCGCCTCCTGTACGGAGCAATTGTGTAACGAGGACACAAAAAGGAAAAGCGCCTTAGCCGCCGCCGCAATTGCATAGATACGCTACGCTGTCATGTGCAGAGTACAGCGCCAATATCTATATAGCGTATTATATGTATACACGAATCTTCTGAGTCATAGCAAGCGCATAGACACAAGGCGCAGTTGCGGAATGGGAATAGCATACAATCGGGAAGTGCACATACACACACACATACAGAGTCGACGAACGAGTGCAATCGAGCGCATGCAATAACAACGCAACTTCTCTCTCTCTGTTCTGTCCGAACGATTATCTTATACAAATGCGCGGCAAAATTACGCGCGCGAGTCGTGCATTACTCACGCTATTACAGATTCTCGTTTATTTTTCATTCGCTTTTGTTTCGCAAGAGAGAGACCTGGCCTGTGCTGCACGCGGCTATGCACACATGAAAATAATAATAATGATAGTATACACGGACATTGGCGTGGGGCTAAAAATAACGATCGTATGTACAGAGGAATTAATTCGAAGCCGCGAGCTTCAACGAAAAAAAAATAAAAAGTAAAAACGTTTTTTCGGTTAAACACTAGCCCCGGTGAGCTTTTTCGTATACGATATATCAAAAGCATACGATCGCATGGCCTGCTGCAGCCGCAAGCACACACACACAGTGAGCTTAAGTGCGCGCAGTTTCCACGCGACTTTGGCAGAATCGATATCCTAGGCAGCAATTATCGCCGCTAGTCGAGCTGCTACCGCCGTTGTTATTCCGCTGCAATCTGTGCGCGGGCGGCGAATATAATGGGACGCTGCTGCTGCTGCTGACTCTGTAGCTCTCGTGACCGGTGACAATTGACCTCCACCCTGCGTCATGGTACACGAGCGAATTGCGCTGCTATTGTGTGCGTACATATACGTATGTGTCTAGCTCGCGGTCCGGATCCTATTATGTGTGTGTTTGTGTCGATCGTGTCGTGCGAAAAACACGTTTCGAGTCCAACACACACCGACCGACCGACCGAGAGAGTAATTAATAGGCGTCCCGCGTGCGCCACACACACACACATCGATTATATATTGGTAATGACCTCGTCTCTAGGCAGCGACCTATGTAGCTTCGAGCGCGAATTAATCGGGTCACGAATCGAGTTTTCGTCAGAGCCGTGTAATATATAATCTTTGGCAGCGGCGGCAGTTGATACGTTATGTGTAACAATGCAAAAAAATTGAAGAAATAAAAAACATTTCAATTATTAATCCAAGCGAGTATGTGTGTGTAGGAAGAGAAGAAAAAAAGATGAAATATTTGACGCGCTAATGGGCCAAATTGCGGACGGACATTTTT